AAGGCATACACTGAAATTTTGTGTGGCCTTTCATTATAAGCCCCAGCATGTCACCCACATTTTGCATCACTTGTCTTCTAATGGAGCAGATTGCAGTCTGGTTGTTCTGCAGTTGGATCTTAATGCACTCTGCCCTCCAGGCAAATTAACACACGGGAAATTGGGGAGCGTGGTGACGGCTGAGGGGAAGATGACACATGCAAGAGCAGTGTGGTGTGAGGGAGGTACAAGTCACACCACATTGCTAGCTGCAGCCGAGTTATACATAGCTGTGTGCTGCTCAGGGCAGCCATTGGTCCTCCGAGCCCATTGCTGAAGCAAGGTGCTCTGTGGAAGGGAAAAGATGCTGCATCCATTCCCTTCCACATGTGTGCACAGTGCCAAAGCAACTGCTAATGAATGAAAAAAAGCAGAATGCAGCGTGGGAAGCCTGCATGCAGTGGGAGTGAAGGCAGTGGTCTGTGCTGAGCAGCAATTTTGCTTCCCTGTTTACTCACTAGGGACCTTGAGCTGACTTCGTGTCCTTGACTAAACCTGGTATCTCCTGAAATGAATGGGAGACCTCTACAGCACACAGACTGACTATAGCAAGCCAAAAAAAGAAACCAAAGTAAGCCTAGCTGCCAGGGGAAGTGCTAAACATGGATCCGGCTTTTGGAACTGGAGAGCAACAGACTCCATGCTTAAATATCTAATTAGCCACCACAGGCTCCGCTTTGAAATTTGGCTTCTCATTACTTTTCACAAGTACATTGACCCAGCATGCTAGGGAGACTGCTACTGGAGAAAACACCATGGGGATGAGCAGTAAAATCAGCTTCTGGTGGAAATAAAGAATAAAATCAGCACACCACAAGGCATTCTCTCACTCCACAACTTAATACTTATTTATTTTGTTCTGGCATAAATGCAAACCAATCCCTTTCTCTTCTTCTTTCAAATTTTTTGCAATGATAAACTTTTCAGCCTACATTGCAAAACATTCTTAAGCCACAAATAATAACTTCTGTTAAAAATCGACCCACGAGAAAACACATACCCTGCCTTATCCCAATTCTTCATTCATCACTATGGAATTGATGATGAAATATTATTTAAAAGGAAGAAGAAGGTCTTGTGCATTGCTACTCTCTTGGCTGGATTTCAAAGCAACTAATTAAATTCTGTCTGCCTTAGCTCTTCCTATGGTTTTCCATTAAGTGAGTTGGGCATTGTCCTATTTTATCTGCATCAACATGGCAAAATGCTGCAGGGCAGCAACTCTGAGGGGAGACTGTTTTCTGTTGTGGGAAGAGTAGTCCACAGACAGCCCCACTCATACAAGTGGGTGGGCATGAGCTCTTCCAGGTTCTCAGTTCCAGACACAGCTACTAGTCTTCTTACATGGGCAGATAGTGATAGTACAAGGGGGAATGGCTTTAAACTAAAAGAGGGTAGATTTAGGTTAGATGTTAGGAATAAATTCTTTACTTGGAGAGTGGTGAGGTGCTGGCACAGCTTCCCAGAGAAGCTGTGGTGCCCCATCCCTGGAGGCACTCAAGGCCAGGTTGGATGGGGCCCTGGGCAGCCTGAGCTGGTGGGGGGCAGCCCTGCCCATGGCAGGGTTTGGGGCTGGGTGGGCTTTGAGCTTTCTTCAGACCCAAAACATTTTGTGATTCTATGTCTGTATGATTCTGCCTGTTTGGCCATCCAGTTAGGAGGCAGATATTCTCATACTGAGTGCCAGCCTACCTTGCTGTTAAGTACTGGAACTCTAAGTCCTCAGGAGTTCCAGCATCACTCAGTATCCCTTGGGCAATGGTGTGCCAATGCAGTCTGCTGGTAAGCTGCCTCCTGCTGTGCCTCGGTTGGCTTCTTATAAAAACATTTTTTGCAGACAGCTTTTATAGCCTTCAGAATAGGAAAGCAATGTAGAAATGCACAGTGTCAACACTACTGTTTTGTTCAATAGACAAATATAACATCATTCAGTGTACATGGAGAACATAAAGCACCAAGAGAGACTAGTTTCAGATGCATGGAGTTTAAATTGAGATTATTCCATGCACGGACTACATGTATGTGCATGAGAGATGCAATTATGATACAGGTACAGGAGCGTATTCCTTTCTCTTTTTCTGACTCATAAAGTCAAGACTGAGTCTAATGAAGTCAAGTGAGCAGCATTGATTTTTTTCTTCCAAGATGATGTTTTATCAAAATGAACCTAGTAAGACAAAGTCTCATGAGCAAAACAGTTGTTCAGTGTAAATACAACAAAAACAGCCAATTATGTGCCACAGGTTATTTCTCTGTCTTGAACAGTCCTGTGGTGCCAGATTCCTGGAAAGCCAAGAGTACACACACTGAGGAAATGGAAAGATAGCTGGTAAACATTGTAGGAGTTCTGTCAAAGTGTCTGCTCTTAATATCCAATTTTATGTCCTTTCTATCTATAGTATGGTACTGAAGTCTGATTTCCTGCTGCCTTGAAAATCATTTGCATCTCTGCTCTGGGATATAAAAGGCTTCTGTACTGATTGCGTAGCTTTTTATATCTTCTGAGCACTTGTGTTTCTCCGACATAGTTATCTATGCAAAGTACAAGGCTTTTGAGGATCCAACTCTTGTAGCTCGTGCTTCATTGCCACAAGGTAAGAAGAACAGCAGTGGCACAAAATGTGGGAACATGAAGTCATGGGGACTGCCTTCTGATGGTTACTGACAGCCAGGTGTGACCCAGGTAGAACAAGTCCAAGCAGTCTTGGCCCTGCTTTCCTGTGAGCTCCTGGGCAAAATGACTCTAATTTGATATAGGAACTTGTCCTGAGCCCTGGCTTGGGGTTTGCCTTCATCCTGGTGGCAGCTACTGCCAATTGGCTGCCAGAGGTGACTGGGAGGGCTTCTCATGGGGAGTGTAAGACTTGTCCTGTTACACTGCATGCGACAGGAGGTGGTGGCCGAGGATCTGGCCCTTTGGGTTGCAGGGGCTGAAATATACCTGAGAGGGGTGACATTTTGAACATCTCAGATCATAGCATGGACATCTCTGAGGTATTAATAAGGTAATTGCAGTTTCCTGACTAATGCCGAGTCACATTTTACGTATATTCATGCAGTGACTGTTCTTTATTCCAAAAATAGCCCACTTTTCCACGAGGCACAGGTGATATCTTTATAATGATGGAGCTGCATTACCCACAGCTGGTTCAGTTGGTTGGTGCAAGGACTGGTCATGATCAGCTGTCTGTTTTCATCCTCTCTCAAGTTACATAATGCTTTTGCAGCCTGTTGATGTTTTGCTTCCAAAAAAATAGACTAGGGGAAAAAAAAAAAAAGCCAAAAAAATAAATAAAAAGAGCAGGATGCACTTGAAGTTCAGCACTGTTGTCTTTTACTTCCTACAGCTGAGCTGTAAGATTTACCATCATGTCGCACAGTTTCCGAATCCATTAAGACAGCCTAACAGTTAAATTGCTTCTTAGCTCTGCAGAGTCAGCCTGTTAGCAAGCATGCAGTGGTTTCTGTGAGGTGTACAAGATATTCTGAATTTGGTATTAAACAAGAATGGGGTAACAAAAACCAACAACAGCAGCAACAAAAAGGCCAGGATGAATTTTCTATTAATTCAAAATAAAAACTGCGTGTAATAACAATCACAGAAAACCAGCAGCAGTAGCAGACACTACGCCTGTCTGCACAGGGACAGCAGCAGCAGCGTTGCTGCTCTGCAGGGCTCTGCAGATCAGGAAGGGATGGGGATGGGGATGGGGATGGGGATGGGGATGGGGATGGGGATGGGGATGGGGATGGGGATGGGGATGGAAATGGGCACAGGAATAGGGACGGGGATGGGGATTGGGATGGGGATGGGGATGGAGATGGAAATGGACACAGGAATGGGGATACAGATGGAGATGGGGATGGGGATGGAGATGGGCATGGGCATGGGCATGGGGGTGAGTATGGAGCCTGTTGCTGCTGTTTTAGGCACCTGTCTGCCTTACCTATGAGCTGGATGTAACGTTAGGAGCTACCTCTGGTTCTGACAAGCACACATGCATCAAATAAGGCTAAGTGAAAGGCCCATAGTAATTTTGAGAGGGAATTGTCAATGCACAGGAATTTGTGGGAGTGATGATGAGGCCCCTATTGGAAGGAGTGTTTTAAGTGTCATACTTGCTAATTTGCCTGGAGCTAGCCTGCTTATTTCAAAAAAATATTGTTGTCTGCATGAAGTGGAACCCATCTAATCAGTGGTTCTTGAAAAGTTGGACTTGAAAGAGAGGCAGATTCAGCATTCGGATCATACAGGATGCTCAGCAGGTGGTTTTGCCCTAACTCCTAGTGTTTGTGTGCCTTCGCTGTACCTTGTCTGGCAGAGTGAGGCAGCCACCTTTGCTCTGAGGGCTATGTATGACATAACTCTGGTCGTGCTGACAGCCACTCTCTTTGCCCCGTCTTTACATCCATTTCTAGTGTGTAACCTGGTGTCACCAGGGCAGGTGCAACCACTGCCTTAATTATCTGTGCTGTGCCCAATATGGGAGCCTTAATCAGAAGCTAGCAGATCATGCTGCAACACAAATAAAAATAACCAGAAGCAATATGATGGAGACAGATTTACTGGTTGGAATATGGTGAGCGTGTGTAGGAAAAGTATAGTGAGGAATGGGAGGGTACTTGAGGGCCTCCGTGTGGTGATATTCTGCAGATTGGCACCTCAGTGCTTTCTGTTAAAATACATTGGCACAGTGCTTCTGGCAGGTACTGTGTAAATTTGTATTATTTTTTTCATAAATCAGACTTGGTATCTTATGGAATAATCGTTGGAACTGCAGCAAACAGCACTCCTGCTACTGCCAAGCTCTTTCTGGTGGAAAAAGACTCAGTGTAAAGCTGTTTATTTGCTGGCTATTGCCAAATTCAATACATTGAATGTTTGTGCAATTCTGTTTTCTTCCCAATTCTTTCCTTTTCATATGCATATCCCACCCTCTTTCTTTTTCTCTCATATACAGATGTTCGTATTCACCCCATGGAGCCTATGCCCAAAGCAAACTTGCCCTTGTGTTATTTACCTATCGACTACAGCATCTTCTGACTGCAAATGGAAGCCATGTGACTGCTAATGTAGTAGACCCTGGAGTAGTGAATACTGAGCTCTACAAGCATGTCTTTTGGGTTGTAAAAGTGGTCAAATGGATGACTGCCTGGCTATTTTTCAAGGTACACCTTTTTTTATTTTTTTCCCATCATTTTGTTGCTTTATCTCTACTTTGTGATTGCTGCAGTCAGCATGGAGCTGAATATGTTTCAGAGTGTGTTATGATGTTGTATTTATTGCGCTTTTCTGCACTGATGAGACATGTAGCATTGACAAAGACAAGCCTTGCCCAGAACAAACACTTATGTGGAAAGAGAGCTCACAGTGAGAGGAGAAGAGTCATATCCCTTTGTCTGTAGCTCTGCCCATGCACTGACTCTCTCCACTGATCTGTCCCTGTTGCTGCACGCATGGCAACAAAACTGCATTCTAACACAGAGCCAGAATATGCAAAGTGTTCCAAGGAAATACCTCATATGTCCTGTTATGAGAAGCAGGCACGATCTGGCACGATCTGCATGTATGCAACATGTTACAGAGAAAAGGGCACAGGAAAGAAGGAAGCTGTACAAATAAAAAAACAGTTGGTGGGAATTGGATGTATTTCCTGGTGGGCATTTGAGCTAAGGAATATGGAGGAATGTTCATTTAGGCCTTCCACTCTAAAATGTGTTTGTAATAGTATATGATTTTCTGTCATCTATTTCTGGTCTACATTAGAAAACTGAACATTGTTTATAAAACTCATTCAAAACTGAGGCAAACCCATTCAAGGTTAACATCAAATAATGTTTTGTACTGGTATAAGTAAATCAATCTGAAATCAGTTTAGCTGCACAGGTGCACTGTTCTGATGTGAAAAAGCCTTAGAAGGACTTGTGCTGAGAAAATGTACTCTTTCAGAACACAGTTTTGGATTAAATGAATGGAAACTGATTTCATTAGAGCAAATTAAATATCCTAATTAGGATGAAGTATTTTAGATCAAGGGGCATGTTCCACAAACCAAATTAATTTTAAACTTTGATATGGAAATGTCACTAGCTTTAATTTCAGAAATGAAACTGGAGGGTGGAAGAGTAGCTGTAAAATAAGATGCAAACAAGCCCATATTTTAAAAAAAAATGAATAGTATCTTCTGAGAATACCTTGAAGATTGCAATAAAATTGTAATAGGAATGCTCATAGTATGTTGCGCATTCTTAAAGAAGCAGAATACAGCATTGCCAAAATGTATATGTTAAACTTGTTTTGCCTCTTGTGAATGCCATTTTAAATAGCAGTCTCTAGTTATGGTTTTGTTTTTTAATCGGACCAACTTCAATTTGCTAATGTTTGACATAGGTGTTTTGATGGTGTGCAGCATTTACTGGAGAGCCACAAAATTCTGACAAAACCCTGCGTGTCTGAGGGTGAGAATTGAATCTCTTGTTTACAGCACTTAAGTCCATTCAATTTTATTGGTGTGCCAAGGGAGACATTTTTGTATTATACCGACCGTGTTTAGAAACTTAATGGGGTGTCACTGAACACATAAAACAAGAGTGGATTTATCACAAGAAGGAGTCAGGTACTTAGAGCTGTAATAGTAATGCTGACTGCAGTTCCTGATCATTTTGTATTTTTTTATGTGTGATACCAGTCAGAAGGAATACTGCATTGCAATGGGTGAAGGACAGATAAACTGACTTGAGCGGAAGCACTATGTGTGTACTGCCTGAAAATCAAATGCATCTACTGTTTTTTTGAGTCAGGATGTGTATCCTGAAGGCTTCAGTTACGGAGGCTGAGATCTTTATATTTCTATATAAAACTTGTTCTGTTTTTCCCATGCATCTAAGAGAAGAAAGAGGGAAACTTTACTGGCACTCTTCTCTTTTACTGATTATCTCCCTCAGGCTTTGGACTTACAGCTCTAACTTCTACTCACTTTTGTAAACAGGTGTTCAGGTGTCTGCTGTTGGTCTCCTGCACTAGAGTAAATTCGCCTTGAGAAAAATGAGAAAGCAAGTATAGAAAAATTCAACTGTCAGATAATGCTAGCTGTGAGTAGGAGTTACAGGTTTCTTCTCCCCTGGAATTTCATTCCTGAATGCACCTATATGAGTATTCCTTCTAGGATTATGGCTGCAAAACAGTGAAAATGAGGTGATATCTCTTTAATCATATTGGCCAAACCAACTGTTGTCACCCTGAAGTATTCCAAAGTGGTTTCTAAATGTGCACAGGAAATTGCTTCACCTGCTGCAACCTGGCACTCTTGACAGTAAACATAGCCCAGATCACTCTGGTGAGGAAATTCATCATGGATTTATCATATCACATTCTCTCAAGAGAGAGTCAGCATGTTGTTTGATTTCATTCCAAATTGTGTCAGAGCCTCCACTACCTTTAAATCTGTTTCTTCCTACACTTTGGTCCCTGTGGCATTCAAATCAAATACCACTTTGGGATTACAGCATGGCCCTGGCTCTCGTCGTGTTGTCGGTGAGACGACTTGGTGTGGCAGGCAGGGCTGTCAACTCAACAACATCCACCTCGGAGCTGCCTCGAGATATTTAGACACCTAAGCAAATAAACCTACAGCTTTACAAACAGGCCACGATACGTACATGTAATTTACTCAAAGTTTGAACAGCTTAGGTTTCTCAGAACTTCAAAACATTGTCTTCTGCTCTTCATAACAGCTCGGAAAAACCTTTTGTCAAATGTGTTTGTTGGTTTTTGTTTTGTTGTTGTTTTGTTCTGCTGTTTTGCCCTGACAAACTGGAATGAGAAGCATCCTGTAGAAATATGATAGGCCAAGATACAGGAGCTGGTGGCTGTCATAAAAATTGCAAAGCTATCACTTGCCTTTTAGAAGCGGTGGCACTGCTCTTCCTCAGGAAAGTGATAGTGATACTTGTTCTTTAAAATTCCATTTTGAAAACCTTTTTTCTACATTTTTAATAAAAGGGAATTGCATTCGTTGCATGCAAGAGAGAAATTATGTTTATTCTTCAAAAAGCAAATTGATTTCTACCCCACGACCGCTCAGTAAATAGAAGCTGACGAGCTGTCATGATTATCTGTAGAGTACAGTGAAAAATGTTATCCCTTAGGAATTTTTAAAATAAAGTGATCTTCTTTTTGAAGAGAGAGCGTCCAAACCTGTGAACAATAACTAATGAATAAGATAATAATAGACCAAAAAGACATTCATCAGGCATCAAATTGAAATGTAGCCAGCTGTGCAACACACCAGTTTTAGTGATGAGTAGTGTCCAAACTGGAAGCCTAGAAGGTACCATTTCCTTCTCAGATACCTGTTCGGCTATAGATGCTGGATATCCATTTCTAAGCCAGATGATCTCTGCTTGTGATGCAATTAAAATGCCTTAGAAAATAAATAAAGAAACAAAAATTGACTGTCATAATGTCCAATATTAGGAACTGTTTTGCGACTTAAGGCTTCATTAGGCTATTGATGGAGAAATATTTCTTGCACAGCAGTATTGTAATCTCCAAAATCTTCTTTATGACACACTTGGTGAATGTGCTATTATCAAATATATCGAGTCCTTTCAACTCCCTCAGATCGCTATTTAGAAGGCATCGTGGAAGGAAGATATCAGGTCTTCTCTCAGCTGTCATTTACAAAGATGTAGAGCCATATAAGTGACTATTGACTGACAAACTGAAAATGAGTTAGATGAGTGACCTGCCAGCCTGTAAAAGTGAAGGGAAAGGCAGAATCAAGAATACAGGCTAGAAATCAAGCAATATAAACCAGCTCATTTCTTTCATCTGTCAAAATAAGCTTGCTTGTGATTTTCCCATAACATTTTTAAAAAAGAATATTTTCAATCTGCTACTAAAAAACAGGATCTAAAGAACCGGAATTCATCATTCATGCCAGATGACATAGTCATGCAGGTCTTATTGCAGCATTTCTTATCCAGACTGTCCCTTTGGCACTCTGAATGTACAAAATTCATTTCATCTTCTTCCCTGAGGTGTCAGAAGACAAAAGCATCACCACACAATAACACCAGCTCTACAGAACTAGAATAATTAAATTCTGCAGCTGAAACCAGCAATTCATCAGCACCAGCATTTTTGGTTCATATGAGCATGTGGTCATCATGTAAAAGTAGTCTGGAATGTCCTCAGAAATCGAAAATTCCTTGCATAAACTTGTTAATTGTGGTTAATTTTTGCAAAAGGCTTTTCAGATCAAAAGTGGGATTCTGATCGGACTCAGAGAGATGGAAGCAATCCACATTATCCCAGTACTTTAAAAGCAGGTTCTCTTTTTGTACGTAACATTCAGGGATTTAAGCTTCAGGCCTTTCATTCCTTGTCAGAGCCATAGGACTTCTTTTTTGTCTAATAAATATTTGATTGTCTGTACAACCATAGAACAGTTAGTTTTAGGGGGAAAGATGGAGAGACTCACCTGAAAAGGAAAATGAGCAGTCTGCCTTTGAGCTACCAAATCCTGGTGGTCTGGGAATTTTTCTTAGATGTTAATGCCTAGACATGGGTAGGTACCCTGAAACTGCTTTTTAGGGGATATGTAGATGCTTTATTTAAATTATTAAATTAGAAGGCTTAGGAGCACAGAGTGCTTGCTGTTCTAGTAAGTGTTAGACCCTTCTAAAGTAGAAGTGTGACTGTAAGTGCACACCTGCATAGCATTTGGACCTGTGGGCCTGAGGTTTTCCTATGGGTTCCATGCATATTCTCATGTCAAAGTAGCTGGAACATTTATGAGACATACTGAGAGTTGCCAGAGGCTGCTTTGGTGACATGAAAGTGAAAGATTTGTGTTGCATGTCTTGTGTGGCTTGTGAATGGGTAAGGGTGCTGTACAGGGGAGTGCAGAACTAGTGGGATTGTGCTGGAGAACTTCAGAGGGAGTCAAGGCTATTGAAGTTGTTTATACGACCTATTTGGAGCAGCTGCTGGAGCGATCTATCCCCAAACCACACCCAGCTTCCTTTTGGAGGACGCTGGTTAGAACAGGCTGAAACAGAGCCATGGAGCTGGCTGAAAGTGAAGCGGTAAGCACAGACATCCATCTCATGTCCTCTCCTACAGTTTTAGTCATTTAGTTAAAAAGAGAAAAAAATCCTTTTAA